TCAAATTTCCAATTTCCCCCAAATCATAGAGTCTCGATCCCCAATCAATTTCTTCATCTCTGGCCAAAGTCATTTTTCCATCTCCAGCCAGCATTCGACAAACTGACTAGCGTGCACTATCGGCCATAATGTGAAGACGAAAGCCTATCGAAACTCGACATTGAAATTGTATTTGAAGACGGCTGCCCAAAACCTAGATGATGGACAAAGGTATTTTGCTTCTAGGTTCTAAATAGGTTAACTCATGAATTGGTCTCTTCAGTTAATTTTTGAATTTCCAGCTGTTTTAGAAGCTGAGTGATGGTGAAAAAATTATCTAGATTTAACTGAATTTAAGAGCAAGAGGGTACTAAAAGAATTAGACCTCGTATGTGACAATGCCACCAGAAGTGGTAGGTTGTCAGAGTGTCAAGGAAGAAACGGACCCATTAGCCGATAAAAAGTATAGAGCCCTTGGCCTTTTTGTGCGAATACTAATATTTCAGTTGCAACATCCTACTAGAGAAATTTATAAATACAATCACTTCTTTTGTCATAGTAATGCAAACAGTTTATTAGTGAATTTTTATAATAGTGAACAAAAAAATCAATCTATAGCTCACTAATTGCATATGTATGAATGTTCAATTTTCATATAAATGCAACAATAACTATCCAATTAGGCACATTGCACAACAAAATAGTATTCTCATTGGAGAAATTCATTAGTCCAACATTTTTTTCCCATGTCAAGCATGTTAATTAATGTTAGTGGCAGAGTTTTGCTCATAGTTACATATAATTTGTAACTTCTAACAAAATTAGAATTTTTGTTGCAGAAAAAGAAATTATGAAAAATGAGAATCATGATTTGTAGATGGAATATGATAACATGAACATAATTGCCAATTTGAACACGTTAGACAATGAAAATTTAGGAGGAGATGTTGCTACTGAGTCAAAGGTGGGTATGATGTTTAATAGTGAGAAAAAATGTTGGACTTTTACAAAAGATATACTTACGCAGTAGGTTTTCCAATGAGGAAACAAAATTGAAAAGGGGGACAATGGGGTTATGAGATATGTGATGTTTACATGTAATTGTGAAGGTCGAAGAAGTTATGCTACACGTGATTCTTTGAAGCTGCTACCAACAAGTTAGACAGATTGTAAAGCAAAAGTATTTGCATATTTATATACTCTTAGAATATGAAGAATTAACAAAGTGTACTTAGAACACAGTCATAAAATGAGTACTTCCAATCTAGGTTGTATCGATGCAATCGAAAATTGACTACAAGTGCGAAACGAATGCTTGAAGTGAATGATATGGCAGGAATCTCCTTACACAAGAATTTTAACTCTGCAATCATGGCAACATGTGGATATGATAATATAATGTCTATGAAAAAGTATTTTCGAAACTATATCAAACAAGTGAGATGATTATGACTTGAAAAATTAGATGCCATCGCAATACAGGCGTACTCTTCAAAGATGCAAACAAGATGCTCGATATTTTACTTCAGCATGAACTTAGACGATGAGTCATGATTAAAGAACGTATTTTGGGCAGATAATAGATGTAGGTAATCTTGCAAAGAATTTGGTGATGTTGTCACTTTTGATACCATATATCTCACTAATAAGCTCAACATGCCATTCATCCCTTTTATTGGAGTATTATCATGAACAATCAACACTAGGTGGTTGTGGATTGTTATCAAATGAAGACACCGGGACTTTTATGTGGTTGTTCAAGACATAGCTTGAATTCATGCATGGTAAAGGATAGGGCAATGCAAAATGTAATTGAGATTGCTTTTTTCGAATATAAAACATAAAATGGTATTTGTGATACATTTTGAAGAAGTTGTGAGAAAAATTTGGCTACCGTGTTCAAAAGGGCTTCATATTTTCTGCTATACACTGCTTAGTATACGATTCACAGTTTGTTAAGAATTCGAGCAAGGTTGGAGAATGATGTTCAATAAGTATGACTTACATGATAATGATTGGTTGTCGGAATTGTATGATAATAGAGGTCATTGGATTCTTTGTTTTTTAAAAATCACTTTTTGGGTAGGAATGTCCACAACACAACGAAGTGAGAGTAAGGAAGCCTTTTTCAATGGATATGTGCATTCGAAAGTATCTTGTTCAACATCAGAACATTTTCAAAATTCGTGTTTACATGAATGGTATCCACGTTTTGTTTGGTATCGTCCAAAGTAGTGAGTGTTGCTTCTACAACCGTGACAAACTCCGAAATTCTTTCATCTCATTCTAATCGATAATTGTTGAAGAAACAAATAAATCCACATGAATGCACTTGAATTATGGAATCCCACATTTCAACTTATGGTCAAATAGAGATAAATTACTTAGTCATGGATGACTCTGTAAAATTGAACTAGACAATAAACAACTCTAAATCAAGGTTCTATCCCTGCTAATAGTCATATGCATTATACTCTAGGCATGCAGTACTATAACTACTCAAACAAAAGACTTCACTTTGAACCTTGAAAATAAGGAGGTAAAATGTGGACGTTCTCCAAAAAAATCATTTTTCTTTGTTAGCTAATAAGTTAAAAAATGACAGAAGTTATAGGCATCACATATAAAACTTTTAAATTCTAATGCCTAGTTTGAGCCCCCTTTTTGACTAGAAAATGAATTTTTGAATAGTGTATCGACAGAAAATGTGTGGTTAAAAAATAAGAAAAATTTTGATTTTGCGTGTAATATTATTTTATTGAAAATTTTTTTATTGAAATAGGGTCAAAACGCTGCTGTTGAATTCTTCTTTTTTTTCCCCCCTAAAAATGGGGCTCAAGCAAAGGCTAAATCCTTTACATCATTCCAATCATATTTTTTCTTTGTGGGGATTGTCATTCATTCTTAATTTTTGACGTATTCCACAAGTGTTTTAGACTTAATCATATTGGTATTTCAATCATAGGTCCTTTCACACTTCTAAATCTAGAATTCAAAGAAAGTAGCTAAATCACATATGAGAAATCTTCATTCCTAATACCAAGGAATCACACATGAAGAATCATTCTAATCATTTGCAAATCTTAGAACATTCAAACTATATCTACTACCAAGAAACTTAGAAGGTAGCAAATATATGCTACAGATGAAGTAAGTGAACGACACTAGTGCTGGGGCTATGAAGGGAGTACCCAAAATCGTGTGTGGAAGATATTTTGAGTAAGCCAAAACAATGGGAGAGAAATGCTTGCAATGTATGCTCTTTGTTTCAGTGGACTGACGGTGATAAAGACGCGGCTATCAGATTTTCTTTGATTGGGAGCTTAGGACAAGAGAGACGGAGAATGTGTGATTTGGGGGGGAATGACTCATTACATTTCATTAAGAAGACGGTTTTGTTTGGGTCAAATTGATTTTGCGCACTACTCGGATTTGGTTCTATTTTGTGTAAATTTAAAAGCAAGTTAAAGCATGGATATTGTTCCTCTGCCACGTCACCATATTTAACCCCTGTTTGGCACAATTCTCATTCTCATTTTTTTTCTCACATTCTCTTATTTTCAACCACACAATCTTCCATAAAATAATATTACACCAAATCAAAAACTTTTCATTCTTTTTCAATCACACATTATTAAAAAAAAAGGACAAGAGAGACGGAGAATGTGTGATTTGGGGGGGAATGACTCATTACATTTCATTAAGAAGACGGTTTTGTTTGGGTCAAATTGATTTTGCGCACTACTCGGATTTGGTTCTATTTTGTGTAAATTTAAAAGCAAGTTAAAGCATGGATATTGTTCCTCTGCCACGTCACCATATTTAACCCCTGTTTGGCACAATTCTCATTCTCATTTTTTTTTCTCACATTCTCTTATTTTCAACTACACAATCTTCCATAAAATAATATTACACCAAATCAAAAACTTTTCATTCTTTTTCAATTACACATTATTAAAAATATATATATATACTATTTTCACCATTAAAATTTTGCAAGAATGAGGGCCAAACGGGAGCTTAAATTCATGTAACTATTCATGTGAGCATTTCCTGTAACTATAGACTAATTGAAAGTTATTCGTCGACAAAAACCCTTTACATAATCCCACCAGTCCATTTCCTTCCAGGCACGCAACATTGTTTTTTTTACAAGTAAGAAATAGAGTATATTCAAATCTTATAGCTTTGCTTGGGAAGAGTTTAAATTATACTTTCAGAAGAACATATATTTTATGAAATTTTGCAACAAGATTTTCAAACCTTTAAAAAATGTGCAGCATGAACCCCAATCTTTAAAGGTCCTTTTGTTGTACATTTATTGAAAGGTTTGAAATGTAAATTCTATGATTTAAAATTTTAAACCATTCTATATATTTTTGAAATACTTAGAACTTTTGATATAAATTTTCCTACTTTTTTCAAATGTGATGAAATTGCTGCTTAAATTAGGGATGTCAACGAGTCGAATCGAAATTCGAAACTCAAGCTCGACTCGAGTAAAAATAATTCAGACTTTTTTTTGGCTTGAGCTGAGCGTAGCTTTTGCTCGGCCAAAAAATTTATGCTCAACCTAAGCTTTCAACTCAAGCCTTATCTAGTCGAGTTGGCTGCTCACTTTTTTTTTTTCTCCTTTTTTTTTTTTTTTTTTTTTGTTTTGTTAAATTTGAAATACGGGTCAAAGCAGCTACTGTTAAGGGGTGCTGCCTTATCAAGGTAGCTATCTTTTTGTGTGTGGCTCAGGTTTGAGCCGACACTCCAAATGGGGCTTGGCTCAAGCTTTTGCTCAATTCTTTTGATCAATGAACTGAGTTGTCTAAAACTTTTCCATAGTTGAGCCACACTAACTGGCTTGGGCTTGAGCGGATGTCCCAAAATAGGACTCAACTCAAGCCTTGGCTTGATTCTTACGAGTCACTAGCCGAATCGAATCGAACTTTTTCGAGTCGATCCCCATACCGTCCGATCTTACGAGTCAATTTTACACTCTCCTTACACATAATCTAAACAATTCAAGCAACACAAAAATATTCCCACAATTTCTGACATAAACACTCGAAATCTCAATTCTCATTCCTTCCCTTCTCTTTCAATCCTATTGTCCCTACCAAATAACATTTCTTTGATTGAATTGCTGAAAACAAATATGGACAAAAACAATTCCAGCGAAAACCAAGAGCAGGAAGAACAAGTAGTAAACCCATGGGAAGTTTCAGCGAAAGGCAAAATCGACTACGACAAGCTCATTGAAAAGTTTGGTTGCCAGCGCCTTGATCAGTCGATAATCGATCGAGTTGCCCGCCTCACCGGCCGTCCCCCACATGTCTTCCTCCGCCGTGCCGTGTTCTTCGCTCACCGCGATTTCAATGAGATTCTGGATGCCTATGAAAGAGGGGAGAAGTTCTATTTGTACACTGGACGTGGGCCTTCGTCGGAGGCCTTGCATTTGGGCCATCTCGTTCCTTTCATGTTCACCAAGTAATTGAACAAGTTTTATTTATTAATTTATTTCTGTTCTCCAGTTGGAACTGAATTTTAAGGCGTTTTTTGTTTCTTGGTTTAATTGGAATTGAAGAAGTACAAGTAAGAGAAAAAGCATGAAGTGAGAAGGCATTGTAAGGCCTCATGCTTCTATGTTAATTTCCGTTTTTACATGTAAAGGATCCTTATATGTGAGGCATGATTTGATTTTCGGAGGGTTTTCTGTTTATTGCTATTTGAATTGGATTAACTGAATGTATTGGGCTCGATTGAATCGAGAATTGAAAAAAAAGTAGAAGTCGTGAATCAGGACGTAAAAGCCACTGCCAGAAAGGCCCAGGCTTTTTTTATTACCCACACATACAAGTTTGTTCCTTTTGAATGAATAAGATTGTATTTTATAGTATTTGAAAGTAATTAGGTACGATCCTCTGAAATCACCATATGCGAAGCAGAAATACCAATTTTATACATTGTGCAGCAATAATGATACTTTGACAGGCCTAAGATCAAGGCTATTAAAGCTTCCTATGTTCACAATTTACAACTTTGAATGAAATCTTATAGAATGAGATGTTCGAATTATTATTTGTTTAAGGTGCAATTCGTGAATGTAATGCACTATGTACAGTTATTACATCTTGTGCCTCCATTTTAGGTGTTATCAAGTATCATTTGAATGAATGTGGATTTAAAAAGAGAACTACACAACTAAGCATCTTTATTGATTCTTTTACATGTTCTGTGCTGGTGGGTGATTTTAGGTACTTGCAGGATGCCTTTAAGGTGCCACTGGTGATACAGCTAACTGATGATGAGAAGTGCATGTGGAAGAATTTGACAGTGGAGGAGAGCCAGAGACTGGCACGTGAAAATGCTAAAGATATAATCGCTTGTGGATTTGACGCTTCGAAGACATTTATATTCTCGGATTTTGATTATGTTGGTGGGTGAGTAGCTTAAAATAGTAAGTCAGTTTTACATTTGTTTCGCAATTATGAATGTATTGGCTATAAATACGTTAAAACACATATTTATATACTGCAATCCTATTTCTTAATCCCAAATGATATTCCACATTCAGGTTCTAACAAACCAACCAGATCTGATTATGAATCCTTTATTGCACTGGGTATAATGGAACATATCTCTAAATGTTGGTATCTTGGGGAAATTTAACTGTTGAGATGTTTTTATATGATTTTCGAATAGCAATAAACAGGTATCTGTGATTAAGGATTAAACCTTATGCTTCTGTTTTGGCATACAAAATCTTGTAGCTTGACAGGCTGGAGCGTAGCCTGTGTTACTGTTTATGTAGGTTGTAGGTTCTGATCATTTCCAAGATGCAGGAGTTTGTCTTACAGCTCTGTTCCATTTACTCAGCCTTCAAAGAAACATTATTTGGAAAAGTTGAACATAATAATTCCTATGAAGAAAATAATAGTAGAAAGATGGAGGGCTTCATTCATATGTCACTCCTACATTTCATCCCTGGGTAGAGAGATTTTCTGATTTATGCTTTTCACATGTCCTGGAACCCATTTATGCTTGGTTTTGTTCATAGACATATTTGCTTGTCTGCGTATGCATGCTCCACATGATTTTAAATGCTTCTAAATTGCACGAGTTAGAAGTCATGAAGTATGGCACGGGACACTATATATTCTCACTTAGTTTGGTTCCTCAAATAGATGACTTTTGTTATATCTTAGATGACCATATTTCACATTCATAGATCAAATTCATTAATTTTTCAGTATCAGTACTATTGCTCTTACATGAGAATAATTTTTGCAGTTCCTTCTACAAAAACATGGTCAAGATTGCCAAATGTGTTACATATAACAAGGTGATTAAGGGGTTTGGGAAAATTTTATGTACTTGTCCCATTTATTTCATTTCTGTTAAGCATCCATGAGCTATATTGACTAGACTTCTAGCTTGTAAACTTCGAAAAAAAAAAAAAATCTGGTTGATTTTGTAGGTAGTTGGTATTTTTGGTTTTACTGGTGAAGATCACATTGGAAAAGTTAGCTTTCCGCCAGTTCAGGTAGAAACCTTTTGAACCCATCATGATTGACTGTACTATTTGAAGTTCTGAGTTTTAGTTGTAACAGTGGTTTTGGAAATGTATTTTTAGTTTTTATTTTCTAATGACAGAACAAATTTGTTGATAGGGAGAAATACTGACAGAAGTGGAGAAACAACTGGAAAAGGAAAAAAAGACAGTTGAAGAAATAAATCCTTCCAAACACGTTGAAAACTGGGACTAAGCCAAAACAAATCTGTCTAAGGTGCAATGAGGATTGCTATAACGATTCTGAAAGATTCTTTTCTCCTCTCAAGCCATACAAACCATGCTGTAGCAATCATAACACAGTACCATAAAATGGTATTCTTTTTTCATATCTCCAGAACCCATAATCGAATATAATAAATAAACTGAAAATGTGGACAGGATAACAAACTCTACAATGATACCAACACCTAACCAAGTCAACCTAATCGAAGAATAGTGCATGAAAAGATGAGTGTATATTGTTACTTCACCAAGCATCTTGCACAAACGTCAAAACTTCGAATTCCAAATGTGACACTTCATTTAGAATATTGAAGAAGCTAGGGACTGCAAAAGGTAGGTGAAAAAAGTTTTACATGACAACACACCAGAACTATGAAGGCTACAAACTCTAGAATGAAAGAATAAATGTACCATATGCCATAATATTGCTGGATCATCCACTTCCCCGATCATTGAAATTGTGAAGGAAAATAAAATAAAGTAAAACTAAACTTCAAATAGGATACTCTATTGGAACTATAAAACTGAGAAATTGGAACATTACCGAGAGATGACAGGCATGCAAACAAGATAATATACTGTGATGAGCAACAGACTGAGACCACCAATTTCTCCCAACTTCAAAAGATTCTATAGTTGAGAACGATAAAAGGAAAAGCAAGAAAGCAACTATTTGAGCTATTAGTACCATCAGGATAAAAACTTCTCTTCATAAAAAAAAAAGAAGCTCTAACTCGCAAATTTTGACTTCGCTTATGGTGGTTCAATGTGGATAGAAATTTATTGTCTGTTTGCGTTATCTGAAAATAACTTCTTGGAAGTACATCTCTCAATGTTTATGTGCTTGATTTTGTTTTCATTGAGTCCCTGCAAGAAGTCTATTTCACATTATAGTCTCTCAATAGAGGAGGTGACTGCTGTCACATGTGGAGCTCTTTGAATGACACCTGTGGTCCCTATTACGAGTTTCTTTGATTAATCTGTTCCAACTTACGACCAGCCCTTTGCTTCACTATCCCCTGTCTAACATTTTGCCTTGGGAACTATGTTAATTTTTTTCGGAGGGTATTGAAACCTCTGAAGCTTTAGTGACTGGGCAAAACATGTTTGCTTGGGTTTAACTTGAGTACATAAATAACATAAAGCAAGGACAAAGGTTAACATGGGTCTTGTGGTGGATAGAAAACAAAAACTCCCCCCCCCCCCCCCCCCCCCCCCCCCCCCCCCCCCCCCCCCCCCCCCCCTCTCTTCTTCTCCAAATGGGCCAATTCTCCCTCCCCTGTACATTTTTTATGCATATCCTATTAAAAGGTTTAAATCTGAGAATGTGGAATCTCTCTATTTTCTGTAACCCTGCTAAGGTTAGAGTGTATTTTGGAAGTTGAAGTTCTGTCTATTATGAAATTTCAAGACCTTAGCTTTCAGAAAATTCCTATTTCTGTACCTTATGATCATTTTCCAGGTATAATAAATTTTTTGAACACTTCGCGCTCTCCCTTAATCCAGCAGAAATTTGCATTATTTGCTCTCCACAGATTGGGTTGGATATTTATTTCCATTCATCTGTCGTATATCTTCATCTTTGGACTGTTATTGTTAAAAATAATATATTAACTGTACTTTTCTTAAAATGAAACTTCATCCTCCTCTAATTCTGAGTGCTTCCATTAGAAAGGCGACCGAAACCAGTGAAAAGAAGGGTTAAAACTCCTCTTTATTTGTTTGCACTTATGAAATGATGTTATAATAGTTCTTGTTGCCCAACTCCCCAACCCCCGATTTTATAGCTTTTTCAAGTTACCTAATTCTATATAATTTCAGGCTGCTCCTTCTTTTCCAAGTTCATTTCCACATCTCTTTACTGGCATGGATAATCTTCGATGTTTGATTCCCTGTGCAATTGACCAGGTTTATCCTCTTTCCTAATCAAATACCTTTATTAGTTTTTTGCTATAATATACTGATGACCGTTGCCATTGGATACATTTTCGGTATATTATATTGGTGAAATTCAGTGACATTGTAACATTTTGTCCGAATAAGGATCATCACATATTTTGTACTATATATATATCTCTACGTGTGGGTTTGCCCTTGATAATATGATTTATGCTGGGAAGGGAGAGGAAGTGGTCCAGCTTTCTGTATATTTCTTGTTCGTGCCAGGACTCTAAACTCTTTCTTTCTTTCCTAGTTGTTTTATTTGATATCTTAATCTGTTTTTGCTTATTCTTAATTTTTTATTATGGCATTAACTTTAATTTGGTGATTTTTCAGGATCCTTACTTCCGAATGACACGAGATGTTGCTCCTCGGTTAGGTTATCACAAGCCTGCTTTGATAGAATCATTATTCTTTCCTGCACTTCAGGTTTCTTTCAATCTTCTAAATAAAAAAAAAAAAAGAAAAAAAAAGTAATGATATACAATGAATATCTAAAACCTGTCTAGGAAGTACAATATTTCTAGACAAAATGGTGTCCTGCATTTCTGCTGGATAAATAGCTGATTTTGGCCAACTTCTCTCATGGGGTCTTGTTCTGCCCGAGAAGTCCTGTATTTTTCACGAAGCTTTTTTACCTCAACAATTGCAGTTTTATCACCACCTTGTTAGGTTGGTCATTTCATATTGTTAACCGATCCTTTAAATGGATTATTAAGCTTCAAATATTAACTGGACCGTTTGGATTGGAGTACATTTCTAGGATGAAAGAATTAATACTTGGACATTTCATTGAGAAGTCAATATATGTCTGTTAGATACACATACACTACTTTTGAGTGGTGGCCATTATAGGAAATATGTATTTCACTTGTTTACTTTGTGTTTGGGCTGTGGTCTACTAAATTCTGCCAAGACGTGTTAGGTTAGTGTCCATGAATGTTGTGATCCGTGTGAAAAACAATGTCATTTTCCATCCGTTTTTTGGTAATGTTGCACTGCTTTGTGAGTGTTGTATCAATATTCATTTATGTTTCCTAGAAAGACTTTCTACTTTTCAATGCATAATTTATATTGGTCTCCTACCTTAGTTGTAATTGTATCATTAGGTGTGTAACATCTTCAAAATAAGTGCAGTGATTGTACTAATTGTAATCAAGAGTCAATGTGAAGCATAACTCACAATCTTATTGTGAAATTCTATTTTTGGAGAAATGGTTCTCCACTTAAACTTATAAGCCACCAGTTAGCTTGTCTAAGCAACTTTCTTATATCTATTTGTATGGAATTTGTTTTTGCTGTTGTTTCAGGTTGCAAGTTAGGCAATTGTTTTGGTACAAATTGTAGTTAAACTTTTATGATATTAAAATTTGCAGGGGGAGACAGGAAAAATGTCTGCCAGTGATCCTAATTCTGCCATCTATGTGACTGATTCCGGGAAGGATATTAAGAACAAGGTTCTACTAGGAATTCTATGTTATTTTTGACCATCTTGCTCATTATCGAGTGGAACAGTATTTTATCCATTTTGCATACTTCTCAGCTTGGATAACATCTATGATTGCATATATTGGCCAGCTTCTCATGACTAAACAGATTTTGGGAGTGTGTGTTTTTTATGGGGGTTGTACGCATCCATGCAGTAATGATTTTCTGCTTTTCGTTACTTGCTATATGATATCATTAATAAATGCTGAAAGTAAAATTAGATTCTAGTTTGAATAAAATTTCTGAAAAGTTCCGCTATAAGTTCCCTTTCAAATGTAACAACCCTGGCAAGCCATAATCAATAATAAAATGATTAGCTTAATTGCTGGTTAAACAATATGTTACTTATCCTTGAAATCATCAAACTATAGCTTGGTCATTACTTGGTGAATCCATATTGGACTGCTATTATCTAGACAATTTGCAAAACAGGCTGCCAAACCACTCAAGCATTCATTCTCGTCCTTGACTGTTAACTTTTTATCCAATGAGCATCTCACTGCAAAATCACATGATAAATCTTTTCATATCAGTTATTGAGTTCTTTCAGCTAGCGTGGTTTCCAAATTGTTCTTATGGTTGAAGGTTCCTTTTGGGCATTAAGCATCACCCAATTTTTCCTTCAATCCATATTTTTATGTCTTAAAATTCTCTCAGCATACTTCTTTGTGTTGATTCTTGTATAATATTTCAAATTGATTTTGACTATGAGAGAGAAAAATAAAGCCCTGTTCATGATACATATGATCGAATTAACGAGTCCTGTAGCAGTAGTGATTCTTGAGTTCAAATCTAAATGTTTTTTATGCTGAATCCCTATGGAATGCTTTATTTGTAGTTAGTGTAGTTATTTGGCTAACGGTAATTCTGTTCAGATAAACAAATATGCTTTCTCTGGCGGGCAAGACTCTGTTGAAAATCATCGCAAGTATGGAGCAAACCTTGAGGTACTATATAGTTTATAATCATCTACCTAGTAATCCATTTAGGGTGCGTTTGATTGTTAATATTTTTTATGGAAAATATTTTTTCTATTCAAATTTCTACTTTTGTGCTGTTTGATTGTCATTTTTTCCATGGAAAACATGTTCCTCTTTTGGTCACGTAACCATATTTTCTTTAAGGGGAGTAGGATTTTATTTTCCACGGAATTCACTCTCTCATCTATCCACTCTCTCTCATCTACCCACCAATAAAAAACGGACATATATAATACTTTTTAAGTTGAAAATTAAATCAATCAAAAACATTTAATTGACAGTTTCTATGCAAATAAGTTATAGGCAATTGAATTACCTAAAATTTATTTTCTTTCCATACAAATTTCATACTTACAATCAAACGCACTCTTAGTGAAAAGATGAACTATATTTTTCAAGTAACAGGGCAATTTTGACTTGTTTTTAGGTTTCACATATTATCTTCTAGTTACGTTATTGGTAGCTAGGTAGTTGTTTAGCCTGACGTGATCTTTAGGGTTTGTTTAGTAAAGCTTTTAAAGTTTTAGCAAATTTTGATAAAATCTGATGTAACGTATGTTGAAAAGTTGATAAAAGTTGTGGGTCCCACGAAATGTGGGGGTAAAATTGAAGTTTGGCGAGTTGAAAAATGCATAAAATTTTATCATTTTATCACAAGCACTAAATACTCATTTGTGCAAGCGTGTTCCTTATACATGCTTGGGATGAGGCACACTAATCTCTCTCTTGCTTTCCTCTTCAATGTTTTTCAGGTGGACATACCAATTAAATATCTTGGTTTTTTCCTGGAGGATGATGCTGAACTTGAATATATCAGGACAGTAAGATAATAATTTATCTACTGTGCTAGTTGTGACATATACTTTTGGTGGCACTGCCTTCGAATTAATTTTTACTCATCCTTTGCCATTCTTACACAATCACATATTAATCTCTTTTTCAAATAATCATTATTAATCTCTCAGGAATATGGAGCTGGTCGTATGCTAACAGGTGAAGTGAAGAAGCAGCTTACAGAAATTCTAATGGAAATGGTTGAAAGACATCGCAGGGCCAGAGCTGCTGTGACAGATGAGGTAATTGACAAGTATCCTTTCATCTAACATTGCGATTATGGGTCAATTAATTAGTTATTATCTCAAATGCACATCAAATAAATTGATGCTGATTCTGTAAATCCTTGGAACCATAAATTGTAGATGGGATCAATTTAAGGATTTTAGTTTTCTTGTTATATTATAGCTAATAAGCATTTGGAGGAAGAAAAAATAAAGTAACTTTGCATAATCAGGCGCTCATTGTTGTTTAGCACCCTGTTTGGCCCCCATTACCTGAAAATGGTAATGGGGGGAATAGTATTTTTTAGAAAAATGAGTGGTTGAAAAAGAAGGTAAAGTTTTCGATTTACGTGTAATATTATTTTATAGAAGATTGTATGGTTGAAAATAGGAGAGAGAAAAATGGAATGTAATGTAATTTAATTTAATGTTAATCAAACAGGGGCTATATGCATTCTCGTATCTGAATTGTGGTCTAGAAACTTAAGTTCCCAATGAATTCTTCATTAAATTTTAGTCTTCTGCTAATGCGACTGGTTACAATTGCTATAATCTAGCCACTGCCTAATAGACGGAATTCAGAAGAGGAGACAGAGGTTTGTCAAAATCTTCAGCGAATTTCCATTGGAAGATGTAGAACATGCGAAATCAAAATTTTCAGATGTTAGCTACCAAGGGCTATGTATTTGCTTATAATTTGTATGGTTATGTTCAATTAGTTTGAAGTCTTTTCCTTTTCTTTGTTTACCCAGATGGTAGATGCATTCATGGCAGTACGACCACTCCCCAACATGTTCCGCTAAACTGGAAGGAAATGACAGTCAAATTCTATGTGTTTCTTGCAAAAGCTACAGCATATCTTACTCATCAATTTGGAAGAACACTTGAAATCAGAAGAATTTTGTTCTATCATGTATCATTTTTTACACACCTTGTCAATTTATCCAGTATAATTAAGAGTGTGCGCATGCAATTATCGATAAATGCTACGTTTGCCTTGTTTTTGATTTGGAGCTATGTGTAGCTTTAAGCACTTTTTTATCTATTTATAATTTAAAATCGATTATAAACAAGGTTACACGTCTAATAGATGTATATACTTTATGTGAAGGAGAGAGTGGTTGGCTTTGCCTTATTTTTGATTTGGAACTACGTGTAGTTTTAAGCACTTTTCTATCTATTTATAATTTAAAATCGATTATAAACAAGGTTACATGTCTAGTAGGTTTACATATTTTATGTGAGGGAGAGAGTCATTTTTGAGGTGTCAACAATATTAATAATACTAGTTGTTGGAGGATACAACTGTATATATCATTAAATGCAAATCCATGACTTAGAGGAAAATTCAATCCTATCACTAATATTTTCGAAAAGTCTAAGGATTGACATTTCATTGCTTTTTATTTGTGTGTGGCCATAACTATCCATGTCCTTAATGTGTTTATGATATGGTATTTGGCAGACGATTAGTTAATGTGTATCATCTTACGAGAATACATTAATAAAATGACGATTTAAGTAATTGCGATATTTTTCCAAAGATTAATCTAAGATTTAATTCGAATGTTAATAAGATTCGACAATTCAATGCTACCACGCCACAACTTGACATTGAAATGAATTTTGTGTAGTTTCATTATCAAATACACTGTGGGCAGTCTTCAATTTGGTTCAACTTTTGCAATTTCACACGCTCGGGGATATGGGCTCCATTTGTTTCAAATAATTAGGTCAATGGAGACTGTTTCATTTATTTATTTATTGGTATTAATTGAATTCAGAAAGGCCTTGTTTAAAAAAGTGTAATAATAATAATAATAATAATAATTGGCGACGTGTATAATCTATTTGCCTTACGATTGTTTACAATTTCTCGAACAATGACATTGATATGTAATGCAATGTTACTTTCGTTTACAATTCTTACATAAAAATTGGGGCATGCGTTGATCGTTGACAAATTAAGTCGAGTGCTAAGAGGTTGATTAGCGAGTTTATTAAACTTAGGGCCTGTTTAGTCGAACTTCTACCTTTCGTAAAAGAGTTTCTTGAGAAAATAATCTTTAAGTAATGTTTGAAAACTAATTTTTAAAAGAGTTTTTAAAGAAAATCACATTGAGCCAATATCTTTAAAAAATTTATAAAATTAAAAAAATAGATCTAAAAATAGCTTTTAATTCTTGAAAATTTCCTTTTGACTTCTCAAAAAAGTCATGTCAAATCGCCATTAATCTTCTGGGTGATGCTAGACGAACAGGGCCAATGTGGTGTCCCCCTATTCGTCTAGAACAATTCTAATCTCCTTGTAGATAGAAATTCATTCCCTTGGACTTGTCTAGTGTACTGCCTTGCCAAATATATGAAGGGGAAAGTCAATGTTTACTTTTCTGTAACTAGTTGAAGTTGCAGTCGCAGTCTCACATCCATTTATATATTCATTCTGACTTAAGCTTAGCTTCGATTATTAAATTTATAAATGATTTATACGATGAAATATTAGTGAACTTCATAAAATGTGTGGATAAATAATGAGCAATAGTTATGATTTAAGAATAAAATTAATATTTGATTTTAACCGATTTTCTAAATTATGTATAAATTTCCATTCAGAGGAAGCCGCTTTGTTTATTTTCAAGAATTGAAATAGATCATGTGTTGGTTCAGTTTTATTAAGAAAAATAAAACTCATGCGTGAACAATCATTTTAAGATCTTAGCTTTTTTATTTTTTAACATAGATATCCGGGCCAGTTTAAGTTCCCTCGACTAATTCCACAGGCCCTGAGATTTACAGTCAAATATTCACCTCAGTGGTCTTGAGGGGACTTAAACTGGTAGTCATTGGAGAGCAAACACAAAGTCTGACCACTGAGCAACCCCTAAAAATTAGATCTTAGCTTTATTTTTCAAAACACAATTCTTGACATTGAATTCAATTAAATTGAATTATACATTTTATTTTATTTTTTTATTTTTTTTGGAAGTCTTCAATTTGGTTCAACTAATTTAGGTCATGGAACTCGTCCCATTTATTTATTTATTTGTTTTTGCTTTTGCTTTTGCTTTTGCTCCATAGTTGATATTTTTTGGATTTATTATGTAGAATTGAATTTGAAAGTAAGCATTGTTCGTCTCTAAAGAGGGATCACGTGAAAGAAAGGCCACCTATGTATTAATGATTCTTATAAATGAGGGGCATAGTTGGTCTCTTTAGATGGGACGACTCAAATAACAGCCACCCATGTGTTAGATATATATTTATTTTTCTTGAGAAAATTAAATGGAATGTGTGTCAATCATTTTTATGTACAAATGGTTTTTCCCATAATCTTGAGTACAAGAAAGGCTACTTTTATGAACCACTCTGTCTGCCTTTTGTCATTTATTATTGGAAAAATTGCAGCAGCAGTTCCTAATCTTTTTATTTTTTGCAGATTTTATCATAACAATTATTTTGTATCAGCAAAGGTCTCTAACCTTTCATAAATATATACTTGTGGTCTATCTTGACGGAAACCGTCCAAAACACTGTCAGTTGACCGGAAAAATTCATTGAATTATCTGCTATCGCGACACTTTTATTAGATGTTGATACCTTTTTGGACGGTATATTTGGACGATTTTATTGAATGTTGATTCCTTAATTTTTTGGGTCAACTAAAGGCGTTTTCGACGGTTTCCGTTTATATGGACTCCAAGTGCATATTTATGAAATGTTATGAATCTCTATTGACACAAAATGAAAGTTATGGTAAAATTTAAAAAAAATAAAAAGATTAGGGACCACTACTGTAATTTTCTCTATATCTATATCTTTCTCTCTCAAATTGGATTGCTAAAGTCCAAGTGAACACCTTTGTGATCTTCCATTTGTGATAGCTATGCATGCCAATAAATATCACACCATTTTTTGAAATTTTGATATATTTTTATTTTGAAAAAAAAAAAAGTTTGATTTTATTCTATTCAAGCTGAAGAGTTTTACAAACAATTTAAATGATACAAGAGTAAAATTTGAAACAAAATTAAAATTTAATAATTTAACTGAGACAAATCAAAATGACTATGCAACGAGTCATATTAATATAGAGATGCTAATATGTAGATACCATTATTCTTTCTAAAATTTTGAAATCTCAACTTCAATTTTCCCTTCAAAGGGAATTTCACTAGTATTTTTAAGGGATAATTATCGCTACGACCTCTAACCTTTTACTTATATGTGGAGCTCTGGACGACTATCGTCGAAGGTCCACTATTTGATTAGGAATGGCCAATTTTTTAAAAGTGCAATCTGGTAACTTTACCTTAAACCCACATAAATCAATTAAAATAATTAAACAGAAAAGTGAAAAAAAAATTTAATTAATTTTTTTCCCTCCAAACTTCACCCCGCCACACCCCAACCAAACATAGAGGTGTCCTTCAATCTCAAGAGTTAAATCTCCAAGTAGTCACTATATTTCGCCAAAAATTTTCAGAAGGTTATTGAACTTTAAAACTTTCTTAAATAGTCACTGAACTTTGCCAAAAATTTCCAGAAAATCACCGAACTTCAAAACTTCCCTAAATAGTCACTGAACTTTGTGAAAAGCTTTTAGGGGGTCACTAAACTGGTGATGTATTGGGTCCCAAATTGAAAAGTTGAGTGACTCTCTAGGAACTTTTTGCAAAGTTTAGTGACTATTTAGAAAAGTTATAAAGTTTAGTGACCTCCTGAAAACTTTTGACAAAGTTCAATAACTATTTGAATAATTAACTCTCAATCTCACACAAGTAAAAAGTTTGGAATCTCAATTTCAACAAATTGAAAGTTAGAATAGAAATTATAATAAATTGAAAAGTTTGAGACAGCGACTCTCATTATCCCTATTTTTATTTTTAATCTCAAAGTGGCACTATTTAAAGGATTTTGATATTGTACAAAGAATAATTCTACTCCTACAAAATTGGTATACAAAAGTAAATTGCCAAAGTGTGTTGGCAAAATCTTGACCCTTGATTTTAAATGATTTAAAAATATGTTTTTGAAATGATTTGTGTATATTTGATTTTGTAACCTAACTTTGTAAATCCCCTTCGTTATTATAGCATAGTTCTTGTACAAATTACACCCCCTCACAACAGGGGGCCCGCGCCAATAAAAAAGGGAAAATTCTACTTGTACATAATTATTACACATAATGGTATCCATAATTGGATGTGGCAATCATCCGATTATTGATGTGCAAGTGTGAGATTTGAATTAAATGTTGGATTCAGTACCACGTATAATTATGAATACAATTATGTAGACAATTATGTACATGTAGCACTTCCCTAAAAAAGGTACGGCCCCTTGTTGTGAGGGGATTGTCAGCCTCCATATAAAGGAGTCTCCACCTCTAGCATGGTTGCTGTTTAAATTGAATCCTGCTACACTTATAAGAAATCTCGTGACTTCATTGTTTCAATAAAGTAATTGCATCATATTTCTATCCCTTTAAAGAAACTCTATCTCCCTCTCACACCGAAGCTCACTAGAATCCCATGTCTTCTACAAAAGTTGAACTAGAAATGCCTTACCACACAGCCGCCGCCTCCTTCAAACGCCAGAAGCACCACCACTGTCATAACGAGAACAGCAACCTGTCTTTGTTGCCTGGACTCCCTGATGATGTAGCCCAGATTTGCCTTTCTCTTGTACACCCTTCGATCCTTTACTCAGTTTGCCATTCTTGGCGCCGCCTTATATATTCACCCTCTTTTCCTCCTTTCCTCTCGATTTATGCTCTGTGTGTGTCTACAAAAGCCGTAGATCAAGCTTCTTATCATTCAACATCTGCTGAATTCTCATGTTTTGAGCCGCTTTCTTGTAAATGGTTGTCCCTTCCGCCGCCGCCGCTTCAGTTTTTGCTCCACCACCCTTCATTTATATCCCGGAAAATTCCAATTCAGTCCGTTAATGTTTCGGGGAATTTAGTTCTTCTCGCCGCCACTGCCGACCAATTCCTCCCTGCCCTTTCTCGGCCACTCATTTTTAACCCCCTGTCCCAGCGGTGGACCTATGGCCCCCCATTCGCCGCCCCACGACGGTGGTGCATAGCTGGTGCATCACGCGGTGTCGTTTACGTAGCAAGTGGAATCGGGTCCCGCTACAACACCGAGTTGGCTCGGTCTGTCGAAAAATGGGACCTCAAAAATATCAACAACAATGGTTTTCGATCACCGTTGGGGATTGAGCCATCTTGGAAATGGGAAAAAATGGGAGAACTGAAGGATGGAAAATTCAGCCGTGAATCCGTAGATGCAATTGGATGGAGAGGCACGCTCTGCATGGTGAACGTAAAAGGCGATGCGGCCAAGGAAGGTAAAATTTATGACGTAAAAACCGACGCATGGTCGGAGATGCCGGAGGGGATGCTGGTGGGGTGGCGGGGCCCCGCCGCCTCCATGGATGAGGAAACCATATATGTGGTGGATGAGTCGAAAGGTGCATTGAGAAAGTACGATGACGGCAGGGACGTGTGGGTGGAGATATTGGTGGATGATAGACTTAAAGGAGCACAACAAACGGTGGCGGGAGGTGGCAAGGTGTGTGTATTGGTTGGTAATGGTGGTGGCTTTGTAGTGGTGGATGTGGTGGCGCAACCGGCTAAATTGTGGGTTGTGGATACTCCCGCGGGGTTTGAAGCTGTAAGTATTCATATCTTGCCTAGAATGAGCCACACTGTACATTAATTAGCCGTGAACATTCTCAGCTGAATTGGCATATTTTCTGTATACTCCTTTGCCTTGGTAGTAGACAAATATTTATATAAAGATCATTCACTTCAGATTGAAGATTGCCTTTTATTTATTTATTTTTTTTCCTTCACTAGGAATTTTTCTAATAAGATTTGAACAAGACATTCAAGATGGAGTATTATGAAACAAAATGTATAACGAGATTCTTATAAAAAATAATAAAAAGAGTCATGTTTGATGTACAGAATAAATTTTCATAGAATGCTATCAGAATACACACATAATGGGGTGGGTAGGGTATTTTTTGGCACATTTTTTTCATGATGGGCCCCACATTATGAGACTATTCTGGCAACATTCTGTACATATGGATTTATCCTAATAAAAAACTTGGTTTTGTTATGACCATCATGTTGACTATGATCAAACGAGAATGAATAAATATCTTGTACGAAGATGGTGGAATTGAAGACATTGGTGCATAACATTTGGATGACTCTGCAATATTTTTCATTTATTGAGATCAAAGGAGTAGTTTCTTTCCCTTAGATTTTGTCCCATTTAACTTTATTCGCAAGTTATTAAGGGGACAGCATTTTGTTACTTTAAATTTGTTTTTTTTTTTTACAAGGTGTCCTATTCTAGACTAATCCTTGGGTCTGTGATCCGGCCCCTCTTCACACAGTCCGGTTAATCGCAGGATGTGCCTCCAACTGGCCAGGGTCTGAGCGCTCCCCACCTGGTCTGACAAAGTGCCAAGCAAGCCAATCCAAGTTGCACCTTGCCTTCCAAGAATAATCCTTGCCTTCCAAGTTCCCACTTGCCTTCCAAGAATAAATACTTGCCTTCCAAATGTTCCCTTGCCTTCCAAGAATAAATTTTTTTTTTTTTTTTTTTTACTTTAAATTTGTTTTGTCTTATGTAGAAGTATATATGAGTTTACTACTTACTCTATAAGATTGTACTCTATCAATTCTGAATTCTAATAGGAACTCTATACGTATGAATCCATCAGGGTAATTAGCAAGAAATATCCTATCGCTGCATTCATTGCAGAAAATAGTTCATATCACTTCAAATTTGGCATTTATATCCTGATTCTAAACCTTTTTTGTAGAGTTGGTCCTTTTCGTCATATTTCGTTAAATCATTCTGTGAAATATAGATAATTGGAGCAAAACGTTCCTATCGTTTACTCTCATTGTGCAAATTGTTCCCATAGTTTCAATTTTGACATTTGGACACTCATATTAACCTTTCTTTTCACAAAATGTACTTATCATTTATTTTCTCCATTATGGTATTATAAAATGACTAATTTACCTCGCTCTTTGAGAAGGAAGAAAATATTAAAAAAATTATATCCAGAATCCCAAAATTTTTAAAAAGTACAAACGAGTCTCACGTAAAACAATCTAAAACATTCTAACAAAAGAAAAATATTTTATCTTTTCAATTTACCCACATACCCCTACGCCCACCCCACCAAAAAAAAAAAAAGGGGAAGAATTATAAGTATAAAAAAATGTTTGAAAAGAATTAAAAATAGAAAAATAAAAAATAAAATGGTTCTTCGCTTCGAGCAAGACGAGTTTTTAAGCGCAAGAATTTCAACATCGATCACATCACCACGAGTTTACATAAAAATATTGTACATTCTTGTAGTGTTAAATTTACGTGTTACAATTATTTCAGCAAATGATTTTTTTTTTGGATATCTTTTAGCTACTTGTGCACTGTTGACGCGTATATAACAAACGATTACATTGCATACTGGTATTTTTCATTATCAATAAATTTGACTCTCAATTTCAAATAGACCTAGCCATGAACTGAACGGAACGAATCCAAATTTAACGTTGTTGATTGAGTGACATGGGAATGACAAAATAACATGCATTCTTTTAAGATATTACTAAAATCTTGACGAGTTTTGCTTCACGTCCAGGGCCACGCGGCCCTGAACGTGCCCCCTATAAGTGGGGGCCTGTTCACCCTTGGCGCCCCCAGTGATGCTACACCAACAGGGATTGGTGACAGGTTTTAAAACCAGATGACACGTGTCAAGCAGTGATTGAACAATTTAAAAAACCACCAAAAATCGGACCATACATATGCTGACACTTCACACTTGGATTCAAACCTTGTTTTGAATCCCTGTTTGAGTAGATTAATTGTGGCGCCCCTGGCCCTGGACAAGGGACTTTGCCCAATCTTGACCTTGCAAACCTGGATTTCTGTATCAACTGCAAAATCAAGGAGTAGAGCTCTAATTTAACACATTCAAAACCATATAGCACGATTTTTCAATTATAGGATGCCCGGCGAGTTAACATGGTTTCTCTTATTTTCTGCAGTTTGATTTAGGTATGCTTCTAGAGCAGAAAAATGAAAGATACATTATTATAAACATGGTAGAGAAACTCTTCAATTTGATTCAAAAGTAGTCCGAATTACATTTTTCAAAGTACTGACCACTCCCCCAAGAAACAAAGGGATTACTCTGAATTGCTTGGAGGTCTTTCTTTCGGATGCTTGGAGGTGTAGTGATCAATGAGCTGATTATGAATTGCTAGCTGCATCTGAAAATTCAAATCCCAGAATATGTAAGAACTTTCAAAACAATAACACGTAGACAATTAATTAAACGTGTAACACGTCAATTAACAGCCATTAAGGAGGTCAAAAACAATGTATTAGCTGAATCTCGACATCAAACAAGTGCTGCAGACTCCAGTAGAAAGGTAAGTGATAAATTATAATTTGAATAACACTATGCCAGAAAGTAGGTGACTAATAGAGTGACATAATAGATGTTGACAAGATATACTTAGATGAAAAAGCTGACTGCTTTAAATTATGTCAATTGTTATAATTTAGATGGCCTTAACAAAGAACTCTGTTTTAGTTTGTCTGAACTTTGAACCTGAAGAACGCGATGCCCATCATAGCCCTCAAGATCATGTCAACTTCACTTCTGAACTACTGAAACTACTAGCATTCTCTTCTCTTTAGATGGATACAAAGATAAAGTGGCAATCAAAAAATTTCTTCGCAGAATTTTAGAGCATTTATGTTGGGGAGAAAACGCGTGGGTCGAGTTTGGCTGACAAATAGTGGAATTGAGAAAATACAGCTAAAAATGGACACAAGTATTTACGTGTTTCACCCAATTTAGGCTACGTCCACGGACAAGTATAGGAGAATTTCACTATAGTAGGAGAATTACAACACTCTTTAAATACAAGGAGATAACAACATTTAATCTCTCTTGTAATTAGGAAAAACACGAGTAGGAAAAATACCTAGAAGAAAACAATAATTTTTTCTCTCAATTTTCCCTCTCCAGACACTACTTTTCTCTCCAACTCCAATCCTATATTTATAGGAAATTTAGCAGCCTTTTATATTAAATTCCACCACCTAATGCTTCAGAAAATTCACTGGAATTTTCTTCACGTGGCTGTCATTAGCTGGAAACTCCAATTTTGCCACCATCACCTTTGCATGCATGTATATATTTTTCTTAACCATTAAGAAAGCAACAACCTTATCCATTTGATCAAAAAATGTGGCTTTGTTTATTAACATTTCTCCCACTTAAACTCACTTTTGTTGACCACTTCAATCCTTCCCATACTTGTCATTTCCATGCTACTTACGTTTTTGTTAGGCCGATGGAGGATCGACACCATATAAACTTGTCAATTCTGATTGACTTTGTCAACATATCAGCTAAGTTGTCTACTGTATGAATTTTCTGTATATCCACACTTCCTTCCTCCATCTTTTCTCGAACAAAGTGATATTGGACTCGAATATGCTTTGTCCTCTTATGAAATGCTAGATTCTTTGCCAAATGTAAAGCGCTTTGACTATCACAAAATAGAGTAATCTTCTCTAGTTTGTGTCCGAGCTCGTCCATTAACATTTGCAACTAGATTGCCTCTTTGCTAGCTTGTGTAGCTGCCGCGTATTCTGCCTCCGTCATAGAAGTAGCCACGATAGATTGTAGTTTCGAAACCCAGCTTACAGCAGCTCCAACAAGAGTAAACATATATCTTGTGGTGGATTTGCTTTTATCAAGATTACCTGCATAATCTGAATCAACATAGCCTCTGACAATAAAATCTGATCCTCCATAACATAATGTAGCATTTGAGGTACCCTTGACATATCTCAGGATTCTCTTCACAGTACTCCAATGCTCTTTACCAGGATTTGCCATGTATCGACCAACCACTCCCACTACTTGTGCAATGTCTGGTCTTGTACATATCATAGCAAACATTAAGCTACCCACTGCTGATGCATACGGTACTCGAGATATCTCCATCCTCTCTGCTTCGCTGCTAAGGCTCATACTTGAGGATAACTTGAAATTATAGAAAGAGGGGTAGAAATTGGCTTACAATCTTTTGCATATTGAAGCAACGCAAGATTCTCTTCACGTAATTCTTCTAATTAAGCCAAATCTTCCAACTATTTCTATCTCGATAAATTTGCATCCCTAGAATCTTGTTTGTCGGTCCCAAGTCCTTCATATCAAACTCCCTAGCCAATTGTGCCTTCAAATTTTCAATCTAATCTTTGTTGGGGCCTGCTACCAACATGTCATCAACATACAACAGCAGAATAATGAAATCATTATCACCAAATCTCATGTAGTATGTACACGGATCTGAACTGAGTCTGTTGTATCCAAGGCTCATGATGAAGGAATAAAATCTCTTGTACCAACATCTCGGCGCCTGTTTGAGACCGTATAGAGATTTGTTCAACCTGCAAACCAAGTTCTCTTTTTCTTTTTCTTCAAAACCTTCTGGTTGGAGCATATAAATCTCTTCTTCAAGTTCTCCATGAAGAAATGCAGTTTTCACATCTAACTGCTCCAAGTGTAAGTCAAATGTAGCACACATCGTTAAAACTACTCGAACTGTTGTGAGTCGAACCACAGGAGAAAATATTTCGTTGAAGTCAATACCTTCTTTCTGAGCATGTCCCTTCACCACCAGTCTCACACGATACCACTCCACTTGGTCATTGCCATCTCGTTTGATTTTATAGACCCATTTATTCCCAATGGCCTTCCTTCCATATGGTAGTGGAACAAGATCCCATGTCTTGTTCTTATGAAGAGCTTCAATTTCTTCTTGCATTGCTGCCATCCACAGAGAAACTTCTTGGCTATTTATAGCCTCATGGAAAGTTAATGGCTCTCCATCTTCTGTTAGTAAGCAATATGCAATATTACTCTCCATAATGTAATCTAAGTGCTAAGCCGGTTCTTTTCTCTCTTGTATTGATCGTCGAACATCTGGAGCATTAGACTCAACTTGTTCTTCATGCTCTAGTGTTACTTCAGAAGAATCTATATCTTCTCGTTCGCCTCCAACTTCAACTGTAATAGTTTCTAATTTTTCTTTTGAAGTGTTATCATTTACTTTTTTCCTGTATTTTGCCTTCTGCAAATATGACATCTTTGCTAATTATCACCTTGTGGGCAGTGGGATCCCACAAGCGGTACCCCTTGACTCCATCAGCATACCCTAAGAAAATACATTTTCTGGATTTTGGATCCAGCTTTGATGTTTCTTGGGTATTGTACATAACGTATACAGGACTTACAAATATATGTCAGCGAGAATAATCAACCGATTTATTAGTCCACATTTCTATAGGCGTCTTCAAATCAATTGCAGTTGATGGCGACCGATTGATCACATAATAAGCGATTTTGACTGCTTCTGCCCAGAATGACTTGGCTAACCTTGCAGTTCTCAACATTGCTCTTGTTTTTTCTAACAATGTTTTGTTCATCTGCTCTACCACTTCATTTTGCTGTGGTGTATGCCGTCGAAAACTGTCTCTTGATACCTTCTTGTTGACAAAAGTTATCAAATTCATCATCGGCATATTCTCCTCCAATGTCAGTCCTCAAACACTTGATCATTTTTTTAGATTCAAGCTCCACACGCACTTTGAATATTTTGAAAACCGCGAACACATCTGCCTTCCTCTTGATTGGATAAACCCAACATCTCCTGGAGTAATCATCAATAAAAGATACAAAGTATCTTGCACCTCCTAGGGAAGTGCTTGCCAAACATTAGAATGAACCAACTTCAAGATACCTTTACTTCTAGCAGTGGAACTGCTAAACTTCAATCTGTGCTACTTACTAGTAATACAATGCTCACAAAAGGGTAATGAAACTTTTTTTAGCCCTGGAAGAAGCTTTTGTTCCGAGAGAATTTTCAAACCACGTTCCGATATGTGACCAAGTTTGCGATGTCACATCATCGTTAATTCTTTTGCTGAACCTGTCGCATCGACAGATGCTTCTCCTTCTTGTAGTGTTTCTCCTTTAAGCATGTACAAATTTACAGCTATCTTTTCTGCATTCATCACCACAAGCGCGCCTTTGATTATTTTCATAATCCCATCTTGCATATGGGTTTTGCAGCCAATGCTATCTAATTCTCCTAAAGACAATAGATTTTTCTTCAAACCTTTTACGTGTCATACCTCTTGGATAGTGCGAATTGTACCATCATACATTTTCAATTTGATGGTACCAATACCAGCGATCTCCAAAGCATGATCATTCCCCATAAACACAGATCCTCCTGTGATGGTCTCATATTGATAAAATCATTCCCTTATTGGTGTTCTGTGCCATGTAGCTCCTTGATCCATAAGCTAGACATCAGAAAATTTCTTTCTGCCTTCAACAACTGTTGTTGCCTCGCTGTATAAAATTTCACCATCATTTGAGGTGCTTGCTAGACAGCCCTGAGCTTTTGACATCTCAGTACCTTTTCCTTTGGCTTTTTCATTCTTCTTGAGACTCCATCAATCCCTTTTTAACTGCCCTTTTTTGCCACAGTAATGACACTTGGCATTTTTCTTACTCCTGGATTTTGATCTACTTTGATTATGACTCCCACTGGAGCCACATTCCGTTGATCTCCCTCTCATCATCGTTAAAGCTTCTGCCTGATGTGAACTTATCAATCTGTCCTCCTTGTTCTCGCGCCTACTTTCCTCTTCAAGAACAGCAGTTACAACATCATCGAAGATTGAGTTTCAAGGTTGTTGGTGAAGTTGATGATGAGTTGATCATACGAATCTAGTAGACTTTGAAGTAAGATTTCAGCACGTTCACTCGCCTCTATATTATGTTCCATTGATGTCAGTTGTGAAAATAGAGTATTGAGGGTGTTGATGTGATCTATCACCGTAGTTGACTCCATCATCCTAAGGGTGTAAAGCTTTCTCTTTAAGAAGATTTTGTTGTCTAACGATTTGACCTCATACAGCTTTATCAGAGTATCCCATATCTCTTTGACCGTCTTTTTCTCCGTCACACTTGACAATACTCTATCGGCTAGTGCAGATTAGCAACTGCGTTGCTATCCATCTCGTTCCACTTAATATCGTCAATGATCTCCACAGACCTTTGTCCAATTGCCGCCAAGCAGTTATCTTTTCGCAAAACTGCTTTTATTCTTATTTTCCACAATGAGAAATTGTTCTCATTGAACTTTTAAATCTCATACTTTGTCGCCATTTTGTTCACCAATACTATGACTAAACAATGACCCTACACAGAACCTGGCTTTGATACCACTGTTGGGGGGAAAACGCGTAGGTCAAGTTTGGCTGACAAATCGTGGAATTGAAAAAACACAACTAAAAATGGACACAGGTATTTACGTGGTTCACCCAATTTAGGCTACGGCCACGGACAAGTATATGAGAACTTCACTATAATAAGAGAATTACAACACACTCTCTAAATACAAAGAGATAACAAAAATTAATCTCTCTTGTAATTAGGAGAATCATGAGTAGGAAAATGCGTAGGAGAAAACAATAATTTTCTCTCTATTTTTTTCTCTACTAAAAGAATATTTTCTCTCAATTTTCCCTCTCCATACACTACTTTTCTCTCCAACTCCAATCCTATATTTCAAGGAAATTTAGCCGCCTTTTACATTAAATTCCACCGCCTAATGCTTCAGAAAATTAGCTGGAATTTTCTGCATGTGGCTGTCATTAGCTGGAAACTCCAATTTTGCCACCATCACCTTTGCATGCATGTATGTATTTTTCTTAATCATTAAGAAAGCAACAACTTTATCCAGTTGGTCAAAAAATGTGGCTTTATTTATTAAGAATTTAGTCATGGTCAATAGGCTTAGGCGCTAATAAAAACTAGATTTCACTCCATACAAGGGACAGTGAAAAAGGTAAGCACAAAATGTACTGCAAAATTCGGACATACAAAAGCATGCAGATAAAAGCAAAAGAAAATCATAATTAATTTCAAACCCAAAAAAGATAGACAATTTTTCCAAAAAGAGAAATGACTCCACCCTCTGTACAGTGCTGATATTTCCAAACAATTGTTCTTTTGTGCCTACAAGTCCTGCTATCTCCACAGAATGAGACATCCAAGATTAGCCTCACTGAGTACCGTATACCAGGAGATTCCATTTCATGGAAGACATATTCTAGATGTTCTATTCTTGACAAATAAGCTCGGACATGTTCACGAGTTACATGGGTTAGGTCATTCCAACCAGTGATGTGGCCAAAAAGAAAACCAGTAGCTTTTATTATCTTATTTTTTTTAAAAGAAAAATAATTATTTTCACCACCTATTTTCACGCATAAATTTTGTGGAAAAATATCTTCTATTGTTCTAATATATTCTTTGTTATACGTACTATGCTCAAAGTTATTTCCAAATCCCAACAACACATGTATAAAACCCTACTGCATCACTGGGAGTGCTCCAATAGCTAGGGCGAAGAGAAAAACCTTATCATATGAAGGTAAGTTCGGCAATCGTGTTTCAAGAACATTTGTTCCCAAGAGTTGTATTTGGGAGTTATGCTTCCTCATCCATATATTTGCATTGCCCTTGTTTGGGCTCCATTTTAATGGGTCAAAAGGAAAAATGTAATTTGGAATAGTGATTTTTTGGAAAATGTATGGTTAAAAAAGAATGATAAGTTTTGGGTTTAAATGTAATATTAAATGTGTGTCTGAAAGAAAAATGCATTACACTAAAATGTAGACCAAATAGGGGCAATATGTAATTGAAACATTTGACACTACACTAAGAAAATCGGATGAGTACAAAGAAGAAGACAATGGGTTTTCTGATGATGGACAGCTTCACTGAACAAGGAAACAAATGTCTTCCAATGGTATACATGGCAGGCTGTTAAGTAGTATAAAATATTTGCTATTGGTGCTAGCTCAAGTATAATAACTACCAACACAAAACATACAGAACAGTTGGTATCATTTTGATCACATTGTAAAATCCTACACATTATCTAAACTCATTTATCGTGTTTTTCGAGCAAAAAAATGCTTGTGCTATAGGTATTGGACTACATTTCAACAATTTTCCCTTTCCTCTTTTGGATTCGCAAAATAGGTACTCCGACTCAAGTTCACTACACAGAGTTGAAGTTAATATGTCCTGGTCCAGTCAACAAACCAGTTCATAGCTTGAGAAACGCAGGTAGACTGAAAAAGAAGCAGCACTAAGAAAATAAGTATACAATATATCAGTCTAAGCCAAGAGATTTACAATCTTCCTTTTTCTTTCTTCTCAAAGACACTGACATTTGCGTTTCAAAACAATTTTTAACACAACCATATACATTTTATAAGTAAAAGAACTCAGACACTCATTCTGAACTTGTTTAGTTTGGTCACCCACAATTTATTCTCTTTTGTGCCCATTAAAAAAACCCTCTGTTTCATGGAATAAAATAATGGGTAATAAACCGATGCATTGATTTGAGAGAAAAAAAATCAGAAGTAAAAAAATGTATAGGAAAAAAAAGATCAAGAAGGGCTGATTCAGCAATGATCAAATAAGATTGATATTCAATCTAAATGCCAAACTACAATGACACAATCTATGAGTATCAAATTTGACAACTGTTCAATATTGGGCTACAATATACATTATAATACCTCATTTAATCCATCCTTATATTACTCGCATAAAACTAAGCCAAAGAGTTACGGGCCTTGTTCCTGATTTCATCAGTTAAACCAATTCAAATACTTCATATGAGGAATCAATTGTGTATAAAGTTCATTAAAATCTTCAATCAGTTTAGCAGTAAATTGTTTACAGAGTAATAATCCGCCTGGTCTAGCCAAAAGGATGCCCAAAGGAACCATCTTAACTAAAGAAGCTACCCCATTAATTGTTTATTCAGTTTCTTTTTCAACCCATTAAAAATTAGCAGCAAAGTAGTGAAACCTGGATGATCTGATGATTAGCGATCAAAATTGCACCAAAACAAAATAATTTGTAAATAAAAAACAAGGAAACGAGGATTAATTACTTTACAGACGGGGCAAATGACTTTGAGGCCAACAGCACGGGCCTCGAGTTGAGACCCTTTGGCCTTCTGATTCTTCTCTGCATTTTTTCTCTGCGCCTCGATCTTCTGCTTTCCCCGTGTCATCTCTCTCTACAACTCACTGTGTTATACGTACGGTTACGCGGGTTTCAAAATTTGGAAGATAGGTATGAGACAGATGAGAATGAGAGAGGAGAGGATGGGGGCCGGCTGAACTCGTGTTCACAATGGGTCTGTGTATTTGGCACGGATAATTGGTGACGCACCTACGATTGCCTCTTTCTTCAAAGGCAATGCTCTTTCGGGCTGTAAACAGAACTCTATCCACTGTTACAAGGGTGGAGATGGTCCTCTGACTCGTCCCCCAATTCGATCTGTCGCAAGTCTTGAGGCAGCCGGTGGTCCGGTACTTGCCAAAGCCACGCAGCATGCACGTGGTAGGAAAAAACATAACGAAGTAGAATCCGACATCGTCCGAACCGATATGGGTGGGATCGAGCCCATTGGCGCAATCTACCTCTTGTCGTGGGGCAGATAGGCAGAGTCACCCAAAGGATATCTCCATGCAAGATCATGTGACAAGTGGAGCAACGTGACAATTCAAAGAAAAGAGGGCGTCACTTAACTAATAAGTCGGGTCTAATAGTACATGACATGCCTAAAGATGCACAATCATCATTACACCCAATGCGACATTGCCTAGGAATGATTGATTGATGAGGTCACGTGTATCTCCATCTAATGGTTCACATCCATCACATTCTACTATAAAAGTTTCTAGTCAGCTCCATTCAAAGGTAATGTTAATTTGATACGTAAATCTTTTTCTATATTATCTTATGTTGCATCCCCAGTTTCAAGCCCTTTCTTTTCTTTGATATATTTGTGCCCCGAACATGTCCCACATTCAATCATATTTATTTAATCATGTTGACTTAATCGTCGAAGTGCCTGCTGCCGTCTCCCCAACCACCGAAATTGGCCATATGCTCTAACTATTTGTTCAAGCGTGCAAGACAAAAGCTTGCGTAGACATTGCGGAACTTGGGATCTGTTGGTCACGTCAGCCTATAAAAAATGGGGTCAATAAGGATTAAAAATATGTGCCATGAATTATTTTAAATGCTGTTAAAATCAGGGGTAAAAAAGTGTACCACCTCATACAAGATTAAAAGAAAAAAATTGTCAAACTTAATATCATTGTAGCAGGACTGAATCTCACCACACAACATTCTCCCTAATTTATGGGATGATTTTACTATGATGTTATGGAACATTTTACCACATTCCTTTGGTTTGTATTATTCAGATCTACCTGCCAGCTATTTCTTTGATCCATGCATTCTATATAATGTTTGGCCTTAAAAATTGAAAGTAACCTCTTGTTTAAGACATGTTTGGATTAAAGTTTTTCTTACTTCTATGTAAACAGTTACTTTTATCTTAAACTAACCTTTCTGTCAAATAACAAATTTATTTCCAACTTTCACCAATGAAAAATATTATTTACAGAACATACTTATTAACTTATAAGTAGACTTCTTAAGCTTTGACAAACATAATACTTTCCTAGACTCACATATAGATGCAGCAGAGAACGAATAAAAACAGGGAAAAAAAACAGAAATACATCAAATAAGGATTAAACATGGGCAGTTAACTTTCATGTTTCAGAAAGATAGCAGGTGGGAGCAATGACTCTTGTCAAGATGCAGTCGGTCTTGACCATAACAAGCTCGTCAACAAAACTGATATGTCACAATTTCATATCCTTTCCATTTGTTACCAACTGCGTGAAGACATGGCAGGGAACTAAATCAGGATTCAAATGACAAATTTAAGTGCTTCCTAAGGATGTATGGAAGCATTAGACGAAAGATTCATCTGTTGAATTGCCCATTTTTCTTGTAAATAAATTTAATCAAATAGTTTCCTTGTGACTAGGAATGTAAACGAGTTGAGTTGAGCCGTCTCGCGAGCCGAAAGTCATGGCTAGATCAAGGCTCGGGCAAAAAATGGTTCGAACTTTTTTGGCTCCAACCGAGGCTCGGCCAAAAAATCAAGTCTCAACTTGAGCTTTTGGCTCGAGCCTTGCCGAGCCGGCTTTTTTTTCATTCATGAAATTTGAAAGTGTTTTTTTATTTTTTAAAAGCTGCAGTAGTTCTAGCTCTACATTAGGAGCACAAGAGCTCACTCCCTCAATGAGTCTTATCTTGCTTGAGACCATGTTATTCAATCTCCTAAGTCCTTGTTAGTTTTATACCGTTTTATGCCCTCGGATTCCTTCACTTGCTTGAAAGATCAAGAATCTTTGCTCTTTCCAGAGATCGACACTTTGACTTACATGAGCAACATTACAAGCTGCCTACATAATGTAGGTAGTTGCATGCAAGCAAGCAGCTAAAAGACGCTGGCCATTTTGCCAAAATGACCCATGTCTATATACCCTGTCACAAGTCGATCGAGCCATGTGAGTTGGCTCGAGCAGCGTCCAAAAATGAGGTTGGGATCGAAACTCGAATTGAGCTGGCTCGATCATTTTTCGGACCTAGCCACTGGTCACCCAAGCTGGTTAGCCCAATTGATTTTCCCACTATACTTTTGACACCTCATATATATAAATCATTACGTAACTTCATTATGTACAAGTAACGTTATTCATGTTTAATTGTCCATTTATTCTTAATCCATCTATTTTTTGGGATTAGAGTTATTTAATTAAGTGAAGATAAGATAATTGGAGTAATTTGATCCGATTACTATCGAGACCAAATATAGAATAGGTGAAGATTATTCTTACCCCAGTGTAATATAGCATGCCGAAGTCACAAGCGATGATATTAAACAGTTTCCAATTGTATTTCATAGGTCTCGACCGATGAGTGGAATATCCATCAACACACTCTATTAATTGGCTCAACCTGAGAAATAACTTGAGGGTCGTTGGAAGCAACTTAATTTAGTTAATGTTGCTCACGACCCATTTACTTCTTGGATGGCTCTCTTTTGTGTTTCGGCCCCTTTACCATTTGTTGGTCCATGAGACCACTATATTAGCCCACTATTATTACACCCTAAAACTATATATTGGCCTCATTGTGTAAGAAGCCGAGTGTGTGCACAATTGTAAAAAGGAGGCAATCGACTTTCTTGTGTTTTCTCCTTTTGAGTTGAAACTTGTTTTCCTCTCTTCTTGGTTGCATATTGCAACCACCCTATTGTGTTTTTTGTGAATGCATTGAATTGAGCAACCAAAGTAAACATAGTTGTAGATTGGAGCCATTGGTTGTGTGTATTTGATAAGGTTAGGATTGGTATACTGAGTGTTCACGAAATTATTTCTTTCAATTTAAAACTACCGCAAGTGTACGGTTCGTTAATAAATAATAAAGTGGATTAAATGAGTCCGAATATCGTCCCACAGAGATTGATTAGTTCAATTTTACCTATCGTTGCTTTAACCGAAACTAAATAACTAAAGTGGATGTGAACCTAATTAAAACCCTAATTTTGGAAAGAAAACCCTAATTACGCAATTTTTATGATTGAATTAAATTAAATACGCAAAACAATATTTTTTACACTCTAGAATGAAATCAAATGTTGAGAACGCACGTTTGTTGTAATCAGTATAAATTAAACACACCAGGATCACGATTTCTCATGCAATTATCACTTTAAAATCTTAGAATCACAATGTGACAACACACTTCAATTGTGAGAAATCAATATTTCTAAATTTATCCAATACTCTCTCGCGAGATGTATCAAACATATTTCTACATACCACCAGCCTATATTTCTATGACAAGCGCATATGTAAAAATGCATACGGTTTTATGAACACTTAAAGATTCACGTAGGGTATAGTTCCTCTCTTCTTGGTTGCATATTGCAACCACCCTATTGTGTTTTTTGTGAATGCATTGAATTGAGCAACCAAAGTAAACATAGTTGTAGATTGGAGCCATTGGTTGTGTGTATTTGATAAGGTTAGGATTGGTATACTGAGTGTTCACGAAATTATTTCTTTCAATTTAAAACTACCGCAAGTGTACGGTTCGTTAATAAATAATAAAGTGGATTAAATGAGTCCGAATATCGTCCCACAGAGATTGATTAGTTCAAATTTTATCTATCGTAGCCTTAACCGAAACTAAATTACCAAAGTGAATGTAGACCTAATTAAACCCTAATTTTGGAAAGAAACCCTAATTATGCAAATTTTATGATTGAATTGTAATTAATATACAAAACGATATTTTAACACTCTAGAATGAAATCAAATGTTGAGAACGCACGTTTGTTGTAATCAGTATAAATTAAACACACCAGGATCACGATTTCTCATGCAATTATCACTTTAAAATCTTAGAATCACAATGTGACAACACACTTCAATTGTGAGAAATCAATATTTCTAAATTTATCCAATACTCTCTCGCGAGATGTATCAAACATATTTCTACATACCACCAGCCTATATTTCTATGACAAGCGCATATGTAAAAATGCATACGGTTTTATGAACACTTAAAGATTCACGTAGGGTATAGCGGTATATTTCTATCCCCTATCGGACCCTACGATGATTTATATTATGTCGAACCTATTCCAATTCTCTCGAATGCAAGAATAAATCACCCAAACTTACACAGTTACGGGCCCTTAATTTCGGAAACAATAATTGCATATAAATTATTCAAAACAATAGAAATATGTCTTAAAGTCAAATTGCAGAACTAGAATATTAAAGATCAAATTACATGGTACATCAATCTTCTAGCACATGAAAAAACTAGCATATCATGCTAAAAAGAAGAAAATACAAAAATAGTTGAAGAAACGTCATCACTCGAATCAAATTTCAATCAATTCTTCAATTGGCACGGTGTTTTCCTCTCGTTTTCTCTTCATTTTCTCCTTCAAAATCTCCATTTTTCTTGTAAAAACGACATCTCCTTCGTTCTGGTCGAGTTTTTGTTTATATAGGACCCAAAAAAATATTGTTTCCATAAGAGTTTCGGCAAAATAAGAAAACTGCAGATTCGACCTCTGAATTGCTCTATACGACAGCATAGTACATTTCTATGTGATAGCATAGAGTAAAAAAGATCTGAGAATAATTTCTTGGGATGCCTCCATGCGACCGCATGGTTATGTCATTCTTTTTGCCGGACAGTTTTTAGTATTTTCGTCAAAACTTTCTCTCTTGATCTCCGATTGAAGTGATTCAAAGTGCATTGGGAAGGAAACTCAAAGATCTACACTTTTGATAGAAATAGGATTTATCAAATTCTGATGTTTAATATGACAAAAATGGATCTCAAATAGAGACTAAAAATCACGAGTATAGTTTTTTCGCCTGTTAATACTTGATAATACTTCGACCATATTTCACATCT